GCGCCGGGGATGGAGATGGTGCTGGGGAAGGATGGAGGAGGAGGTGCCTCTCACAACCTAGGCAGACGGATGTCTGCCTCCCTCCTGTTTTCCAGGCCGGCTTCAGGGAGATGCAGCCCCTGAAATATTTTCCCCTGGTGTTATCTCTTCACTGGAGGTAGAGCTGGTTTTTACGGAGTTTGTCCATCTTTGAAATGTGTAGGCTGGTTTAAGCCAGAAGAAGGCTGCACAGTGGATATGGGCAGTTCAGGAGCTGCTCAATAAACTGGAGCCGGGCAGAGGGATGGAGGTGGTCCTGGCACTGTCACTGCCAAGCACCGTGGCACCCAACCTGTGCCAGACCCGGTGGGTCATGATGGGATTCCCCCATCTGCAGCAAATCTGGGTGTGCTTTAACTACTGTGAGATACTTAACTGCTGGGAACAGTAACTCCGTTAACCCCACCACCAAGGGCTACCTGAATATGTGTCAAAGCCCTTGGCTATAGGGCTCAGTCTTCCTTTGTAGAACTGATTTTAGCTAATGACATGAGCATTTGTGAAGTACCAGCCTTCACACATGCTTCAGGGTAGGTTTAACCCAGGGAGTTTCTAGTGGTACCGTTAGCTAAAGCAGAAGCATTTCTGGGTGCAGCTACACCTTGCAGATGTTGAGCTCTGGAGCCCAGGCTGTTCTGAGCGTGTGGCTGGAGAAGTCACAGTGATCCTGGCTTGTCACCTTTTTGCATCACTGCATTTTGAATATTTAAGCCACAAACCCTAATGCAGCGTATGTGAATGAAGTTAGCTTCTTTCATAAAAGCAAGGGTCAGGAAAATAGTCAGAAAGGCACTAATCTCTGCATGAATCTTTGTCTTTCCCATCTTTTCTCTGTTGAATGCAGGCAGGACAATGCTCAGTGAGCTGCTCTGTGGTGCTGCCCTGAATAACTACAGCAAAATTAACCACCTCTCCTGCAGATGCACTGTAGCACTCAGGTCAGATTGTGCTTGTTTCAGGCTGGTTTTGGATCCAGAGCTCTCTGTTATTTTTCTATTTATTTTATTTTTCAACTTTGCAAACAGTCCTCAGTCAGCACTAACCACAGGGAGAATTTCCACTCGGAAAGTACAGGCGAGGTTTTTTTCTGCCGTTCAGGCACTGGAAGGCTCGATTTCGGCTGTAACAGGGAGAGGGCTGTTCTGTTCCACCCGTGCTGACCGGCTAGGTCTGAATGCTTAAAAAGGCCAGCTTATTCCTCAAGTCCTGATGTAACCCCATGTACGGCATTTGCCCCAAGGCAGTGAAATTCCAGCAACTTGATACTTCAGGTTGTGACCTTTGAAGGGTTAAGGGAGCCCCAGCTGCAACCTCCCGAGCTTGCTTTGATGCTCAGTCAAAGCCAGGACAGCTGCACTTGTGATAGTGCTGAGCTGGGTCCTCTGGGCTCTGCCAGACTGCGGGACGTGAGTATTGTCCCCAGGGATGGGACATGGCCTTGGAGATGGATCCCTTCGCCTTCCCGAGCTGTGATAACTGGCTCTCCTGGTGGAGCGGTTCCCAAGTTTGCTGTGATTTTGAGCTGATTCCTGCACAAGAGGTGAAGGCAGAGGAGAGGAGGGCTGCAAAGCCTTCCCTTGCATGGGAGCGAAGCCGCCCATGTCTGGCAGTGCTGCGGGGAGGGCTGGAGCTGGAAGGAATGCGGCTGCGTCTTGGCGGAGGAGCGGAGCAGGAGTTTCTGGCTGAGAGGGAGCGACTGGAAAGCAGGTTTGCACAGGGCGCCGCTTTCCTCCGGTCCCCACCTGTCTTCCCGTCCTCTTCCCTGCCCAAATACGCTCTTGCCAGCTCTCCTGGCCTGGCGGTGGTTTGGCAGCCAACGGCTGCTGCAGCCAGCTGGATCTCGCAGGTGGGGGTCACGGGTGAGGGTGCCCCTCGCTGCCCAAATCACAGTGATAGACCCCCAAGATGGGCTGGCATTCACCGTGTCTCTGTAGAGAAACCTCCCCCCCCCAGCTAACTGGGAAGCAGGATGGCTGGGTGGAACGAGCCCTGGGGTTCAAGAAAAATCTTCATCTGGCTGTTAGGAGGGGGACCTCAGCGCTTAACCAGAGCTCTTGCAATAAGGATATTTTTAGCCTGTGCGAATGGTGGTGTTTATTTTTCTACTGTTGTGCCTTTTCGCCTTTCTCAGGGATTTTATTGCTCATGAAGGCAAGGGTCTGCAGTGACGCTCTCTGCCTCCGTTGCTCCAGTTCCATCTGCCCATGCATTACCCATCCAATCGCCCCCAACGAGCCCATTTACAGGGCAGTGATGGGCTGTTGCTGGCAGGAGCACCTCGGCTTACCTTGGACCAGACCTTTCCCTGAGGCTGGGGTGCCTGTGTGATGCCCTGGCACATGGGGTTAGTAATGTGTGTGCCCCTCTTTGGGATGGGACGAAACAGAGGAACATTGCAAGCTCATTTATTGTCAGTGTTTCAAATCAGTATTTTTTTATTATGGATACTCATCAGGTTGCTCACACTGTGGCAGAAATTTAATAATATAAGGCACAGGGAACATTCAGAGGTAAAAAAAAGAATTCTCAGCCTGTGAGACTTAACTATCCTTTTGCTCCTGTCAGGACCCTCTCTATGAAGCAAAATCCAAATACCTTCTCCCTTCCCTCCCGCCCATCCCTTAAACCCCCAAATCCACAACAGGAAAAAAAATATTACAACCTTTCCCTTGAGCGTGTGGCAAGCACATGTCTTTCTCAGCAGAAATGTCCCTTCCAAGCCTGACACAGCTTCCCTGGGAGAGCAGGGCTGGAATTTAAGCACAACCAAGGCAGAGGTGGGAAGTGCTCAAGGACATGGTGATTTGGGGAGAGCTGAGAGTTTTATCTCAGCTACAGCAGAATCGCAACAGCAAGGTCAGCCAGGTGCACCCTGGGGGGAACAGGCGGCCGCACCCCATCTCCATTTGCAGCACAGAAAACACACCAGCAGAACAATCATCGAGTAATGGTAAAGCACATAGCACTTTCAAACCTTTATTTTTCAAGGGGATTTTACAGGATGGGATGTGTTCCACTTTATTTCTTTTAAATTCTGTGCGCTTTCCTATTTGGTTTTTTTATTAGCCTTTATTTTTTTTTGCCCCTCATGATTGTTAAATTCAAGCCCTGGGAATGGAAAAAAAAAAAAGGGGGAGGGTGGAAACGAAATCCTGCCGTTCTATCTTTCTCACCCTTCTCCATCCACCACGATCTGGGTGACTGCAATGTCACCCGCAGCTGCTCTGCTCGAAAAGCCCAATCCTCCCACATCCTCTGGCTCTGCCTTCCCTCGCTGACAGTCTGTAATGGGGGCAGTGAATCGCTGAGAGGTCTTTGCATCTACGCTGACATGCCCAAAAACGTGCTGTTAGTAAGAAGTTAAAGAGAAGTCGATTGGAGAACGGATACTGAGACAGAGCGGATATTTAGGACAGGAACAGGGTCGGTCAATGGTAAAGACACGTTGGAGAGAGAAAGGGCTGATAAGAGCATGTGGAAACAGCTCTGGAGTGAGTAATCTAGTGGTAATAGATTAGGCTATGAACGAGGACTGTTATTTCTCTTAGCACCGTTACTACGTATGTTTAGATCTATATTAGCACCTTGTTCCCAGGGAAAAAAACAAAACAAAAGCGGTTTAAAAACCGAAGGAAGTGGGAAGGTTAAAACGAGACAAAGTTGGCAGCAGAGACGGAAGCTGGGGGTTTAGATCACAAGATCCTTGTCTATGTCCTCTGTGGAAGGAAGAGAGAGAGACGAGGTTAGGAGGTGGATGCTGCCAGGGTCCCCCCTCCCTGCTTTTCCCTCCCCAGGACCAGCTGTAATGCATCCCAAGTGGGGGCTCTGGGGCTGCTTTTGAGTGTCCCCTCCACCCCCATCCCCTCCCAGCTCAGTACTTACGCTCCTTAATGCCAAAGCAGCTGGCCCACTCCTCCAGGGCGATGTACTTGTCGTTGTCCAGGTCACAAGCCTCGAAGAAGCGGGTGGTGCAGTGCTCCATGGGGATGAGGGGGGCACGGAGCGGGGCCAGCTCGGTGTGGGACAGGTACCTGCCAAGGTGACCGCATGGTCAACATGCTGCCCGCCAACACTAGCCACCCGCCACGACCAGCCACCCTCCCATGGGTGGGAGATGCTCTTCCGGGTGCGGGGGCCAGCGCAGGGCAAGATGCTGGCTCCAGCTTGCCATCTGGTTTGAGCTGCTCTCCCAGTGCCCACCACTGAGTGTCATGAAGGTCAAGGACTGGTGTCTGCTTTTGCAACCGGCTGTACTAGTCACAAAATAGCCAGGAGCCAGGGGTCCTCGCTAGCTGCCCCCACCCCATGGGTCTGTGTATGTGATCGCTCTTGCACCCATCTCCAGCTCACAGCTAAGCCAGCAGCTGCTACTTCAGCTGTTGTCCCAGGGCCTTTGGACTAAGATATTTTAGGGAACTATCATACGACTGTACATCTGAGAAGACAGAAACTCCACCCGAGGCAGA